CATTGTCCATTTGTTGTTCAACTTGAACTCAACTTGATGGATCCTAACACCACCAGCAGCACCGTGATTCCTGCCCAGTTCATGTCCCAGAAGTGTTAGGAACTAAGTTTCGTCCCGGGTAAATCTGTAAGGAGGTTTCTGCATGGCCCGGGTGGTTTGTACTTGATAATCTCAAAGTTGGTGGTTCCAATCCACTCTACAACAGTTCATTCTCTCTCCCGCTTACGTGGATAAGAACTCGTTTCCATTTTTTAAATTTTCTTCTCTCAACCTGCACTTCTCATTGTGAATCTTCATTCATTTACTCATTCATTCATTGCCATTGTCATTTATACCAGATTATTTGGCCTAAAATGCTAACCATTTTACCTGTAAGCATATTAAGCATATTTTAATCATAAAAAAAGAGTATTTATTAGCACTGGAAATGCACCTCCCAACTTCTCACAGGGGTCAATGTATAAAATGTAGTTTTCTGGCAGTCAGGTATGGATATTGTTATAACTGAGTCTGTGACCCAAAATGTTTTGTGGAGTTGTTTTTAAATAAGATACAGCTTGTTAGGAGTAAAGAAAGAAGAGGAATATAGTTCAATGTCAAGTGTCAGCGTCCCTTTTCAGCAGGAAGTAGCTAAGAGAATACGCCGTCCCCTTTTCCTTATGACTCAGGGTGAAGTCTCTCTCAGGGAGGAGTGATAGGGAATGGCAAAGGATACACTGACAAAGAAGATTAATCAGAACTGGCTTTGACAAGCACTGTGGCATTTGGACAAGAACAAACTGGGAGGAGGGTAGAGAGAATAGTACAACAATGAATGAGTGGAAGCCCAAAATCTCTGTAAATGTTTATGAAAATTAATAAAATATAATTATAGGAAAAAAAATGTCAAGTGTCTGTCGAAGAGAAGAATGACATACTTGCTGGCTTGTGTGAAATGTGAAGACTTTAGTATGGGAGTATATGAGGACACTGCCCGCATCAATCAATAATTCTGTGCAAACAGCCATTCGATGATGAAGGATGTAAAGAATGAAGTACCAGGATACAGTTTTAACTCCACAGATACAACCAAAAATGTAGTATTGAGACACTCCAGGAAACAATAGAGACGTGCTGGTTGAGAATCTCAGTCCAATCTTTATCACTAACATGCCCAAAGTCTCAGTTTGCTCATCTGCAATTTGGAGCAAATAACATCTGTCCAATTTAGCTAGTAGGAGAATATAATGAGATAGAAGATGTGACAATGCGTTGCCAGTATTCAAATGTTCCATATCAGTGGAAAATATCCTGGCTAGTCCCAGTCTCCAAGTTCAAGTCCAAGAAAGCTATACTTAATCTTCCAGATCTAGTTTAATACAATAGGAGCCCCAAATTGTGAAAATAGATAACAAGTTCAACTGTTAACCAGAGGGTTAGAGGTTCAAGTTTACTGTGATATACCTCAGTAGAAAGGCCTGGCAATCATTCTGGGGACAGGGTGGGGGGAGGGACCCTGATATGGAGCATAGTTCTGCTCTGAAACATACAGGTTGCCCTGGTTTGGAGCTGCCTCTGCAGCACTGACTGTATAATGACTAGATTTAGTGGATTAGTACAGTGATCACCAGCTACACGTAGATACAGATTCCTTAACAGTGTGACTGATCAACACTTTTAGCACCAGCAGTCAGGAAATCAATAGGCGAATTGCATTAGGTAAATCTTCCATCAGGGACCTCTCCAGAGGAGTGAGAAGCAATGATATCAGTCTAGAGACTGAAGTGTGCCTCACCCAGTCTTTGTAATCACTTGCTATGCATCAGAGAGCTGGATAATGACTAAGGATGACAGAAGAAAAATTGATGCCTTTGAGTTGTGGTGCTGGAGAAGAGTCCTGAACATACCATGAACCACCAAGAAAACAAATGGGTTTGTCTTGGAGAGGATGAACTCAATCTTCTCCATGGAGGCTGGGATTTTGAGGCTGCATCTCACATACTTTGGGCATGTAGCCAGGAGGGACTGATCCTTGGAGAAGTACATCATGCACAGAAGAATGGAGGGACAGCCCAGAAGAGGAAGACCCCGGATGATACACATTGATACAGACTGATATAGTAACTAGAAAAATGGGGATAGGTGTATTAGAGTCAGTGAGACTGGCTCAGGACAAGGCAGGCTTCAGAGCTGTTGTACATAGGGTCACTTTGAGTCACAGGTGACTTGGTGGCACATAGCAACAACAGTGAAATTGAGAAACTGAATTGTCAATAAAAAGCTGGTACCCAGTTCAGCTACTGAGGGTGGGAAAATGAACTAAGTTTAGAAGTACTTCTATGTGGGCATCAACTTCTGATAGGGAACATCTTATGAAATAACTATAGATCACATGTGTCCAGTGACAAGTGCTTCAATTGAGATATGCTGAAAATATATTAAAAAAATTACGTTTCTCACACTTCGTAAAAGCAAATAAAATGTGAATGTTTAGGTTTTTATTTTTAAAAATATTGATGATGCGTTGAAATTATATGTTGCGTATATTAGGTTATAATCTGTAATTAGCATTGTCATACCTCTGTATTTCTTTGTGTGGCTTGCATTGTATTTACCGTTACAATATAATTTGCACTGTAGTTCTGTCAGGGCAGCACCATTTTAGAGAGAGGCAGTGAGTGGAGGGCTCACTGTCTTTAAATAAATTAAAAAGCAAGATCATTGCAAAGACCAGTTCCATCATCCCAGGCCAAGTACTGGCACCACTTTCCAAATTTCTGGAAATCTGTGGCAGAAAAGTCACACCAGGTGGGCGTGGTGGGTGTCAGATCCCTGCCTGATTCCCCTCCACGTTTACACGCACAACACAATATCTTGAAACTTCTGTCATCGTCACAGCGCTTTTTGACTGAGCCCAGAGTTGTCAGCTGAGCTTTGATTCGGATGCCAGGGTTGTGAGGACTAAGAGATTTCAGAGAGCAAGAGGCTAAGAAGAGAGTCTCAAAGTCAGAGTGAACTTGATTTCTCACTTCTGCTCTTTCAAAGCTTACTGTAGACCCCAGTGGTGGAAATTCCTTCTTTAGGCATTTGTTTTTCATGGTTTGGAATCTTTTCCCCTTGTAAAGCGTATTGTTTGGAAATGATTTGCACACACATTGCTGGACTAGGATGCAAAAAGAAAGCCTGACCAATCTGATGGAAATTCCTTCTCTGGACATTTGTTGTTCAGGGTTTTGAGTCTTTTCCCCTGTAAAGAGCGTTGTTTATTTAAATGAGTTGCACGCAAACTGCAGGACTAGGGGGCCAGAGGAAGTCTAGCTGCTGCAGGACCAGCCTGGCCAGCACATCTGGAAGTGGTTTGGGGGACCGCCTCGCCCCTCCAGCCAACGTAGCGTCTGAATTCACAGCAGCTGCAGGCAGGGGGAAAAGAAACCCGAGCCACTGCAAAGTCAACGCAAGCAGAGGGGGCGGGTGGAGAAGAAATGCTCTCTTGGAAACGTAATACTGGCCTAACCCGTGGAGATTTCCGATGGGATCTTTCAAGGCGGCAGACGCAGCGTGAAAAGCAGCCAGGGTTGGAAAGCTCTGCCCTGCAGCTCTTCTGGACCACGCGCCCAAGGCCTGCCCTGAGCCTTCACCAGGTAAATAAAGACATTTGGGAGCAATGCAGCAGCCTTTCCGTTCTACCCTGGCCAATCTGCAGCGGTTCTTTTACTATAGACACAAGGAAGTAAGTCAGAAGTATCTGGCTGTCCTGCACCGACTTTGGCTTCACTTGAGCCTCAATTCATGTATGTGGTGTGCCACTTGAACCTTTTCTGCCATTGCAGAAGATCCAGAATACTCATCGTGTATTTTTCACATTCCGAACCGCTCATCAAAACTTGGGTTTATTCCATCTCCCACCAATTCATGTGATTTACTCATTGCATACTATTTTATTAAGCATGGAAATAGCGGATATGTTGGGATAGATGTTAACAGTGAATGCAGGTTTGAGCCACAACTTATTTAATTGATTTACGATTCATGTCTTCTGCTTGTGAGGTTCTCTGCTAAAAGAGCTGAGAGTTTGTGGAAATAAGAATAAGGGTTATTGCATTTACAGTCATTAGAGTATTTGAACAGGGTATGTTTTGTGACACTGAAGGAAAAGGTCTTCTCGTGTTTATCTTATTAGCAAGAGTAATACATGGGATAAACCTGGTTATATGACACAAAAAGAAACAGTTATTGCAAGAGAAAGAAGAGAAAGAAAACATTACTATCTCAAACATCTGGATGAACTGGAGGAAAGAAAATCAGCCCTCTAGTTACTTGGCACTGTGCAGCTAAATATGCAGAAATGATTTGGATTATTTCTTTGTTTTTCAAGGTTTCTTTCCTCCCAAGTGTCTCGAGGTTGCACTCTGTATACTATCCTTTTTGTGTTACATAATGGAATTCCAGTCCTCCATCAAATCCAATTCGAAGTCAAGACTCAGAAGGCCAGCCTTGGCCACTTAGAAGCTTTTAACTCTGGAGGGGTTAGTACTCCATGCCTCGTGTGACCTCATCTGTAAAATGGAACTAATGAGGGTTCTCCTATTATAGAGTTGGGAATGAAACAAGATAATGTGTCTAAAGAATGCGGCTCTGTTACTTCCCTGGTGGTGCTGATGATGGGACCAGAGAGACCCCATTATATGATGCTATGTCTAGTTAACATCATGTAATAGATTGACCCTTAAGGGTGACAGGGCTCTTTCTGGGAAAAGTAAACATATCTTTAAGACACATGATAGCTCTTAAGGACCGTTTATAAAGTTTGCACAGCCAAAGAAAACACTTTTGTAAGGGTGAGCTGGAGATTCAAGCTCTATTTTATTTTATTCCAGAATTCTAGATTCAGATAAGTACTACCAATAACCAACATAGTAAGCTTCCAATGATGACATAGACATAGTTCTTAATGAATGTTGGTGAATTTTAGTTTCTTTTCTTTTTAAAAAAATGTTTCTTCTTTAACCCACAGATCACAGTGCTTCTCCACGAGAACACACATGGCTCTCTTACGAAAAAGTAGGTTTATACTTTTTAAAAATAACGCTAAGAATGTGAACTCTTTTGATACTTAATCTCAACTTATTTGGAAATCTAATTTGATTTCCACCAACCATTTTCCTACAGTCAATTTTTCTCATGGTCATATCAGGATCATTCCTATTGAAAGTTTTGAGCATTTTAAAAGGCCAGAAGTGGAATTATCATAAAAGAGGGATCTTTCTGGTTTCATAAACTTACAAACAAAATTTACTTGCATTCTAAATACTCATGTTCATGTGGAATTTAGCAGTTTTAATTTTGTATTCTTGTTCTCCTTTTTTTCCACTTTCTTACACTGTGGTAACATTTGCATTGCTGTGATCCTGGAAGCTATGCCCTCATATATCAAATCCCAGCAGAGTCTTAATGAATAGAAACAGAACACTGGCAGTTACAGGGCTAGAAGGTGACCGTCTTAAGTTAGGAGACACTAAGGAGAAGCTCTCTCCTTAAAGTAGTCATGGATGAAGTAAAGCTTTGGGGACCTTCATTTACTGGTGTCCTAGTGGCAAGAAGCTGCATTGCAGACCGGAAGGCACACAGTTCTAATCCACCAGCTGCTCTGCTGGAGAAGGATGAACTATCTCCTGTGTGATTAACTGCCTCTGAAAACCTGCCAGAGGGTCAGCTGTCGGTCAGTTCTGACTCTATGGTACACAACACCATCAACATCAATTTGTTGGTGGCATACAACTCAAAATCAGACAAAAGAGTTACAAACATCCATTAACATGAACATGAAATGTTTCAGACTATGAATGTAGGGATGTTAGGTATTGGCAAAATGAAAGGGAATACATAAAGATTGATATTCTAGGTATTGTTGTTGTTGTTATGTGCCGTTGAGTTGCCTGCAACCCATACTGATCCTATATACAGAAGCTCTGAATCCTGTCCTGTCCTGAGCCAGTCTCACTGTCTCCAACACACCAACCCCTATTGCCCCAGTTAAAGATGAGTTCCATCTCATCTGGAGTTTTCCTCTTCTGTGCTGTCCCTCCACCCTTCTGAGCATGATGTCCATCGCCAAGGACAGATCTCTCCTGGCCACATGCCCAAAAGTATGTGAGATGGAGTTCCAAAATCCTAGACTTTAAGGAGCTTCCCCCTCTCTCAGACAGAACTGTTTGTTTTCTTGGCAGTCCATGATATGTTCAAGACTGACCAGAAAGCAAACTTGACTCTCTAAACAGTGAGTAGAAACCTTGCCTCATCCCATGTCACCTTCATGATCTTTACCATATTCAAGCTCACTGTGATCACTTTATCAACCCAGCTCATTAATCCTCCACTTCTCCAAGCATCCTAGATAATAATGAGCTGAAATGGCCGATATTAGCCATTTGAAGTGAACAATACTATGATCTAAATGTTGGGAATGACGTATTAAAGAGCAATGGTGTGACATTTATCATCAAAACACATCCTAAAATCTGTCCTGAATTACAGTGCTGCTAGGGGTAGGATAGTATCCAGACACCTATAAGGAAGACCTACCTGTTCTCCTGGACGTCCATGGGCACTCAGTGCTCTTCTCCAGCACCACAGCTCAAAGTCGCCAACTCTTCTCCTGCTGTCCTTTATTCATTGTCCAGCTCTCAGATGCCTAGCACATGATTGAAGAAACCATGGCCTGAATCATGCACACCTTAGTCATCAAATTAACACCATTGCTCTTAAGTAATTTGGAGAGGTAAGGACAACTAATTAATATAGCTATTATTAACATGTATATGCCAACTAGTAATGCCAAAGATGAAGAAATGAAAGATGTTGGCAACTTCCAAAAATGATTAAACATGCATTGTTAACTACTAGTGATTGAGATGTAGAAGTTGGAAGTAAAGAAGAAATATCAGCAATTGGGAACTATGGCCTTGGTGACAGAAACTCCATCAGATATTGCATAATAGAATTTTACAAGACTAGTAATTTTTTCATTGCAACTACCTTTTTTTTTCCAGCAACACAAATGGTGGCTTACACATGGAGTACTACAATAATGTCTGTGTTTCATTGACTATAGGTAAAAGCATTTCAATATGTGCATCACAGCAGACTGTGGCTAACCTTGACAAGAACATTTAACAGTGCATTTAACTGTGTTCATGTGAAACCTATGCTTGGACCTCAGAACAGAGCAAGGTCAAAAATTAGGAAAGGTCAAGGATGCATCCTGTCTCCATGTCTTCTCAATCTATATAAAGAACAGATCATTCAAGAGGCTGGACTTTATTAGGAGGAATGTAGAATCAGAATTAGAGGGAGACTCATCAATTTATGGTATGCAGATGATACAACTTTGCTTGCTGAAACGGAGGAAAACCTGAAGTGTTTGCTGTAGAAGATCAAGGACTGCAGTCTTCAATATGGATTGAAGCTCAACATTAAGAAAACAAGTATTCTCACCACTGGGTCAACTTTAAGTACCATGATAGATGGAGGAGAGATTGATATTATTAATACTTTTCCTTGCTCACCTCCACAATCAACAATCTTGGCACAAACAGTCAGGAAATCGAAAGACAAATTGCATGAGGAAAATTTACTGGCAGAGAACTCTCCAAAATGCTAAAGAGCAAGGTTGTTAGTCTAGAGAGACTAAGGTGCACCTCATCTAGTCCATGGTCTTTGCAATTCAGAGAGCGGGATAATGACTAAGGATGATAGAAGAAGAAGAATCGATGCCTTTGAGTTGTGGTGTTGAAGAAGAGTATTGAACATACCACTGACTGCAAAGAAGACAAACGGGGCTTTCCTGGAGAGGATGAAACCAAATTGCTCCTTGGAGGCAAGGATTTTTTTTAAATTTTTTTTTTATTTTATTGAGACAAGGATTTTGAAGCTCTATCTCACATACTTTGGGCATCGTTGGATAAAGGCATCATAATTGGAGGGACAGCTCAGGAGAGGAAGACTCTGGATGAGATGGATTGACACAATAACTGGGGTAAAAATGTTAGATGTGTCGGACACAGACAGGCTCAGAATAGGGCAAAGTTCAGAGTTAATCTACATAGGGTTGCTATGAGTCATAGGTGATTTGACAGTTCATAACCACATTGATTTTGCTGGGTAGAATGCATAAGAATCAAATTGACTGTGTCTGTGGAGACAACAAAGAATATCATTATCATCAGTCAGAACAAGTTGAGAGTCTCATTTGGAATAGACCATCAATTGCTCCTATGCAAGTTCACATTGAAGTTGAAGAAAATGAACACAATACCATGAAAACAAAAAATAAAATGTCGAGAATATCCCACATGAGTTTAGAGGTCATCTCAATAAAGGAGTTGAAGCACTGAGCACTAAGGACTGAAGACCAGATTAGTTGTGAGATGAAACAAGGACATCATACATAGAAAAAGCAAAACATCGGGTGCTTGTTTGCAGCAAGAAGGCCAAATGTACCAAGAAAGTCAGCATCGTTGGTAAATACAGGACCCGTTATGGTGCCTCACTCAGGAAGATGGTAAAGAAAATTGAAATCAGCTAGCATGTCAAGTACACTTGCTCCTTCTGTGACAAAACCAAAATGAAGAGACATGCTATGGGCTTCTGGCACTGTGGTTCTTGCATGAAGACAGTAGCTGGTGGCACCTGGACCTACAATACCACCTCAGCCATCACAGTGAAGTCAGTCATCAGAAGACAGAAGGAACTGAAAGACCAGTAGAAGCTTCCCCATTTGAAGTATCTCTAGCCTGTAATAAATGTGTTAATTTATGTAAAAAAAAAAGAAAGAAAAGAAAAGAAATCATTAAAAAGACAAGAGAGGAACAAAAGACCATGACAGAACTCTGAAACTTGCTTTTGATTTTAGAACAGGAGCTCTGATGGCCTAGTGGTTAAAAGTTTTGCTGCAGTTCCAAAGGCACAGGGTTCTAATCCACCAGTTACTCTGTGAGAGAAGGATGGATAGTCTTTTCCCATGTGATTAATTGCTTCTGAAAACCTGCAGTAGGGTCAGCTATGGGTCCATTCTGACTCAATGGTAACAACAAAATGTGAATGGAGGGGAGTGGGTAAGAAAACAAGCTTAACAGAAGATTTTTCAAGAGTGACCCAAGAAGACAAAATATAACCACAACAAGATAAAGGTAAATAATCCAATAGAAAAATGGGCACAGGATATGAACAGACACTTCACCAGAGAAGACATTCAGATGGCCAACAAGCACATGAAGAAATGTTCAAAATCCCTAGCTCTAAGAGAGATGCAAATCAAAACAACTATGAGATATCATCTCACCCCTAAGAAAAGCAAAATTTAACAGAACAGCCAGGAACAAATGCTGGCGAGGTTGTGGAGAAACTGGAACCCTTATTCACTGTTGGTGGGAGTGTAAAATGGTGCAACCACTGTGGAAGATGGTATGGCGCTTTCTCAAAAAGTTGCAAATAGAGATACCATTTGACCCAGCAATTCCACTACTGGGAATATACCCCAAAGAGACCATAACTGATACCCAAGAAGATATATGCACACCCATGTTTATCACATCTTTGTTCACAATAGCAAAGAGTTTGGAAATTACCCAAGTGCCCATTAGCTAATGAATGGATAGAGAAGCTGTGGTATATTCACACAATGGAATACTATGCTGCATTGAAAAACAAGGAACTCATGCAATATTATTCATGCAATATATTCAAAATATAAGCCTGGAAGACATTATGCTGAGTGAAGTATCTCAGTCACAAAAGGATAAATATTGCATTGTGCCATTGTTGTAAAATAGGACTGACATCGGGGTTGGGGAAAGACTGAGAAAGATGAGTTCAATAATGTATACTGCACTGAAACAGATGAGGGAGAAAACTGTTTAAGAGGGATATGTGATTAGGTATTTTTATCATGACGGGAGTCCAGAGAGAAGGCTGCATAGTGGAGTGGACCTGGGGGAGGGATTGTAAAACAATGAAAGAATTTTTATTTTATTTTTCCAAGAGGGGAGTGTACTAAGGGGGAGGGTTGGGAGGGGTGAAAAGTGCAACAGTGAATGAATAGAAATCCAAAGTCTCTGTAAATTTTCATTGAAGTTAATAATAAATTTTTAAAAAAGAAAAGAAAAGCCTTCATGCTGGGAAAGGTAGAGGGGTCAGCAAAAGAGAGTGGCCCCAGTGAGACTGATTGACACAGTGAGTAGAGATGGGCTCAAGCGTGGTGGAGAATGAGAGGAGGGGCAGGATAGGACGAGGTTCTAATCTGTTGTCTGTGGAAGGCTGAGTCATATCAACCTGGCAATACCTAACAACAACTTAAACCATAAAACCCTGTCACTTGCTTTCTACTACTCTATTGGCTAAAACGAACACACTAAGTCTGGTATCTCATTGAGTCTCTGATTGAATCTAAGAGCCCAGAAAGGAGCTGTGTATTAGCAAGATAGAATCATGGAGCCTCAGAATATTAGCTCTAAAAGACATTGGAGGAGAATGTCCTGCTCCTTCCTTTTACTAATAATAACAGAGCAATCTGCAGCCCGCACATGTAAATATGTTGATGCGTGTTGTGGGTGTTGTGTGCCATTGAGTCAGAACTGGCCCACTGCTGACCCTCCAGCGAGTTCTTAGAGGGAGGTCGTAAGTCGCATGGGAGGAGACTGCCCATCCTTCTCCCATGGAGTGATTAATGGATTCAGACCATGTCTTTGGCATTGTAGCACAGCTCCTTACCACCAGGCACCAGAGCTCCTATCTTGATGCATAAATAAAAAACAATCATACATAACAAATGGAAATTCTTTACTGGGCCTTCATGGCCTCTGTTAATTATTGAAACAATCCTGTGAGATACTGATAATTAAATCTCCAGTTGGTACCTCTAGTAGCATTGTCCATTGGGAGTTGCACTATTAAACCAAAGGCACAGGTTTTAATCCACTGGTCTCCTCAGGTTCGAATCCACTAGTGCTCTGTGGGAGAAAGATGAACAGTCTGGTCGCAGGTGATTTACAGCCTCAGAAAACCTGCTGGAGCATCAGCTATGATTTGGTTCTGACTTGACAGTGAATAGTCCATTTGTTAGAGGAGGAAACAGAGACTTAGAGAGGATCACAGTCTCTCCAAGGCCACAAGGTGGCCACCTGAGGAAAGGGGAATTGGTATCTGACTGCAAATCTCAGCCCTATCACCTTCCTCCAGTATTGACCAACCTCAGGCATTTGTGTGCTTCATGTGAAAACATACCTACACCTCAAGTTTTCACCATTGCCAACCTCAGTTCCATGCATCTCTTAATATTTTCCTTAAATTGACTAATTTCTCAATTTTTTTATACTGATTTATTTACAAAGTTCAAATACATTGTTTTTCACATAAACTCCTTCCCTTTTCCTTCACACATCCCTGCCCATCAAATTGTGCAATCCTATGATTAACACTCCATCCCCTTGTGCCCATTCTCCCTAATTTCTCAAGTTTTAAAGTATGTTTTATAATAACATTTGCATCTTTGTTCTCAGTGAAAGAACAGTATAAATCTATTCTGGTGACCTAGTGGTAAGAAGCTGCGCTGCAATCCTGAAGGCACATGGTTTAAGTCTATCAGGTGCCCCATGGGAAAAAGATTGGCGCCCTCCCTCTGTGCAATTAACTGCCTTCGAAAACCCTCCAATGAGTCAGCTAAGGATCAGTTCTGATTTGACAGTTCACATTAACAACAGCATCTCCATTTTGGCCAGCTACTATCGCCTACCTCACAGGAAGTCAGAAAGACTGATGAGCTTTGGTGGCACAGTGTATTACATGTTGTACTTGTAACTGAAAAGTCAGCAATTCGAATCCACCAGCTGCTCCACAGGTAAAAGATGGGAAATGACTTCCCATAAAGATTCACAGCCTTTTACTCAGTGGAGTTGACTGACTGGTTTGGGGGTTTTAGTGCTCTAAATAGGGAGCTCTAATGACACAGTTTACCAAAGAGTTGGCAGTTCAAATCTACCAGCCACTCTGCAGGAGAAAACTAAGGAGGTCTGTTCTATAAAGCTTTGTGGCCTTACAAACCCTGTGGGGAAGTTGTGCTTTCTCTGTCAGGGTCACAGATGAGTCAGAATTAACCCAACTGTCACAAGTTTAGTTTTGATATAAGGCTAAGGAACACAGGCTTCCTAAGCCATCTCATGAAAACCGGTGATAGGTATTCAATGCTCAGGAAATCACTGTTCTCGTGCATACTGCAGCTCAGTAGGGTCTACCAGCAAGCACTGCTGGTCTGGACTAATTGGACCTGGAGGACTAGGACTGGAAGAGGTTGGAGTCTTCCAACCCCTTACTCAAGGCACAGATTGTGTGCACATCATTTTTTAACCAGTGATTGAATTAATTGTGAATCTACTATGTCAACACAACTAAGCTCATGGACTAATAGTAAGTTCTACCTCATAATAAGCTCAACACATATGGTGAATATTATTTGAAAAAATATATTCAGACATAGAATGTGACTTTAAAGACAACATTATGTAATCTGGAAGGCTGGAGTCCCTGCCACCAGAATGCCTGGGTTCAGCCCTAGGACCTCATGTCCCACAGCAACTCCGTATGTCATTGTGTCAGGAAAAGTCCCCAGACACTGCTCTGTTTATATCGAGAGGGCGTATGCTCACACCATCACTGTGAAATTTCCCTTCAGCTTTCTGTTTAATAAACTCTAACAAGTTTCTGTTTTCATTTCAGTTAATCAGGTCTTGCTGTTCCTTCTGATTGTGACTCTCTGCATGATTCTGTATAAGAAGGTTCATAAGGGATCTGTGCTCAAGGCAGAAACAGGTAAGCAGCCCCTGGGATTTGTCAAGGGGGAATATCTGGGAACATATTTGGAATGTGTTCTTTTGGGTCCACTCAGTAATTTGGTTCACAGGTGAGCAACAGTTTGTTCAACTCCAGAGGAACTGCTTGTAGAATATTCACCCAGAGCCAGCCCTTTGCTCATGCTCTGAAATGATCAGCTTTGATCAGACTCTAGCATATGAAAGAATCTGAAATATACAGAAGTAAGGAGCTCGAATCCACCAGATGCTCTGCTGAAGAAGGAGGGGAAATCTCCTTCTGTACCAGTCAGATCCGATTTGATGGTACACACACGACTAAAACAAGCTTGGAAGGAGGAGTGGCATCCACTTCCATAATAGCTTGCCTCTGGAAACCCTATGAACCTGAAGAGAGGATGAAAGGCACCCAAGCGTCGAGGACTCTCCTTCATAGGGTCGCTATGAGTCGCCTGTGACTCGAGGGCACTTAACAACAATAATATCAACACACAGAGAGAGATCAGTTGGCCCAGTGGACAGAAAGCGATGCTACCAAGCCAAACGTAAGTGACTTTTAATCCGCAGCCCTCGGGCCTGTCTTTCATTGTTTTTGTTCAGACATTCCTCTAAGTCGGATAACCCTGGTGTACAAGTTGCCGTGCCGCATTCACTTTTGGTTGCTGTGAGGCTGAACACTGTGACACTGATGTGTCAAATGTGTTGATGGTTGGCTACCCAATGCGGACAGAGAGTGGAGTGGAGCTCCCCAATTAAAACAAGCTTGGAAGGAGGAGTGGCATCCATTTCCATAACAGCTTGCCTCCAGAAACCCTATGAACCTGGAGAGAGGATGAAAGGCACCCAAGCATTGAGGACTCTCCTTCATAGGGTCGCTATGAGTTGCCTGTGACTCAATGCACTTAACAACAAGCGGCTCGAATCTACCAGATGCTCTACTGGAGAAGGAGGGGCAATCTCCTTCTGTACCAGTAAGATCTGATTTGACAGTACACACACACAAAATACTACTACTACTACTACTACTAATAATAATAATAATAATTATCATTATTATTATTATTTTAAAAAGTAAATAAGAAAGAATCTGAAATATTACCATTGAAAACTTGATCAGCACATTTTTGCACTGTCATCCATGGAGTCACTAAGAATTAGAACAGACTCACTGGTAACTGATTTTGAGGTACAGGAGACTCAGTGGTAGAATTCTTGCCTTCTATGTGGGAAACTGAGGAGCAATGATGTTAGTTTGAAGACTAAGGTGTACCTGATTGAGACCATAGTCTTTTCAATCTTTTGCTATGCCTCTGAAAGCTAAACAATGAATAAGATGACAGAAGAATTTATGCCTTTTGGTTGTGGGGTTAGAAAAGAGAACTGAATATATTCCATGAATATAGAATAAGAAGGTAATTGTCTTGAGGAAAAGTACAACAACAACAACATCTAGATTGAGTTAGAATTTAGTTGATGCAGTGGGTATCCACAGTGCACTGGGAGAATATATTTCTGTGTCTTATACCATAGTGGAAGCTCATTAGACTATCCCCACAAAGAGAAAACCACTCAACAGACAGATGTAATAGATTAACACAATATCTGTGGCAAGGGGGTCAGGTGTGCTGGAGATGGTGAGGTTGGCTCAGGGAAGGCAGGGTTCAGAGTGATTATTCATAGGGTCATTCTGAGTCACAGTTGACTTGATGGTACATAATAATGACAACATTTTCAAAATCCATCCAAGCACTTCCCTACTGGAGGTTCCATGTATGTCAAAAGTAGAACCACTTTACATAGGGTTTATAATGTTTAGGGTTTTTTGCCCCCAGAAGTAGATGGGCAGGCCTTTCTTTGGAGGCACCTCTGGGTGTATTTGACCCACTATCCTTTCAGTTAGTGTTAGCTCATCCAGGGACTTCAGTGGATCCTTCACATACTAATAATTATTATTTTTCATACCTGACAGTCATATTATGGCACCAAATATGTTATGATGTTAATGTTTTACATCATAGTATTTGCTCTAGGTGACAATTATTCATTGTGTATATGAATCGTGCTCTTGTCTGTCTCTTTTCTTCTGCTGTCAGTTTACTCTGTGTGTGTCTGTGTGTGTATACCGTCAAATCGAATCTGACTAGGACAGGAGAAGATTGCCCCTTCTTCTCCAGCAGAGCATCTGGTGGATTTGAACCATGCACATCTGGGATTGCAGTGCAGTTTTCTTGCCACTAGGCTACCAGAACTCCCTGCTGTCAGCTTTTGAGACATGTGATTAGAGGATAATAAAGTTATCATCTAACTTAACAGCTGTGTATTTTTTTTATATTTTATTTATTTTTCATTTCAATGAACATCTACAGAGATTTTGGAATTCCATTCATTCATTGTTGCACCCTTATCCCTGCTCCCCCCGCCCCCCTGTTTGCTCCTCTCCTTGAAAAGCAAAAGAAAAACTCCCTCATTGGTACACAATCCCCCCCGGACCTCCCTCAATCCCAACCCCAACCCCAAATATAATCCACTCTGCAACCCTCATTGCATACTCCTATGATAAACATAATGCCCTAAAATATAATACTTTTAAACTATTCTCTCCCCCATAGACTTCAGTGCTGTAAACATATTTCATCCAGTTTTTCTCAGTCTTACCCCCACCCCAATGACAGCCTCATTCTACAACAGTGGGACCATATA